ATTTTTCAAAGATCTTTTACATTATTTTTTTTTTTTTTTTGTCAATCAAAATTAAATACATTTTTTAAGACAATGTGATGTTGGTTTTAATGCATATAAGAGATTGTCTCCTATGAGATATCTTTCTTTTATATTTTTATTTTTGACATTTATTTAAGGTCGTATGGCCATTTTTTTTTTTTTTTTTTTTTCAATCTGCGTGTCGGATATTCCTCGCTTAACTCTTTTAAATAAGTGTTTGGGTAACCTGGTAGTTTTTCATGGTATCTTTTGCTCCTTACTTTTAACATTTCATTAATAGTTTTTTAAATTAATGAACAAATTCTGATATAATATTAAATATATTATATTCTGAGTAACTATTACTTTTATTGCAATGCCATAGAATTTTATTAGTTTCAATCATGTTCTCAAATTACACACTTCGAATTGATACTTACTAATTACGTAAGACCTATTAATTTACATTGTACGGGAAAAGTTCCGCGTGAACGATTGCACAACTTTTTGTTATCTTCTGTATAATTGGTAAAAATTAATGAACTCTATTTCACCAATCACTTATCTAGACATTTCGAGAAAACTTCAATCACTAGTAGATCTGATATATCACATAGATTAAAGCAGGGTTTCCCAACCTTTTTATAAATGATTCATGCTCCCCACTTTTTATATTTGTTTGTCTATGATGGTCCCAGATGTAAACTTCAACTTTTAGAAGTTGTTCTGTTTTAAAATATCACTATTAAATAGTTATAAAAAAAGTCGTAAGTAAAGTTGCAAAACACAATAAAAATATGTCATCGATCGATTCCTTAATAAAATGACTTGTCTCATTTTTATATTGCCTCAAAAATCCAGAACAATATAAATTAATTTTTTGTCTACTAATCAAAATAGAGTTTAATAGTTCAGTCTAATACAAAATACTTGATGGTAATAAAAGATTTTCCTAAATTCCTATATTTTATTGAATACATCTGTTTTGAACCAGCTGTGGAGTAGAGGTAAATAACGTGGGCTTGCAATTCCTAGTCCCCGCCAGCTTGGTATCAAACCGTGCGATACCAGATTTTATCTGGAAATCGTAGATATCAAATATGATCTTAAGTAGAAATAACTTTTCGGGGCATTGCTGCAGCAACTATTAAATATATATCAAATATAATCGCCTCACATGAGAGGTGGAATGGTTACTTCTCGGATAGCATACATACTATAGGATGGGTTACTTATCGTGAAACATTCGACTAATAGACCGATTCTGCAATACAACACACCAATGTTACGGAAAGGCTATGTTATGTAAATTTTTCCAAACTAAATGGTTCTAAATATTGTCAAAAGTCATGTGGTTGCTGTGCTGTAAGGCGTTCGCTTCAGGTTGTCAGATAGAAAACGTAACCTAAAAACCGAACAAAAAAAAAACGATCTTAGATAACAGGGTCTTTCTGACCCAGCTTCATAACATACAAATGACGTTGCAGTTTATGTGTAAAACTCCTGAATGCACTGAATATACATGACATTTTGACAGTATTCAGTATAATTTTGTAGAAAAAAGTATGCAAGTTGAAGCGTAACATGGTCTTGCCATAACATTGGTGTGTTGTGCGGCAGAATCGGTCTATAAATCTTCAACAAGCAACTTATAGGACAACTACTTTTAGATTTGAGTACTTCTGATTACTGCTAAAACAAAAAAAATGCTTTTATTACTTTAGTGCGGATAATTGCATAACCAGTTCTAACCGTTATAGTAAACAGTATTTACTACGGTTTTTAGATTCAGCAATAATTAGCGAATGTGCACTTACTTTCAAATACTATTATTACGCACACCCATATACGACAGCCAAGCAAACGATTTATTAACTGTGATTGTTGTAGCTGTCACTAAACTTATTAAGATTCATGTAAATCAGATATATTTTGTAAAGCAAATGTAATGAGTGTTGTAGTTACTTGGTGTTTAGTGTAAAGAAAATGCATTATCTATGTACCTTACCTAGTGGGCGTTTTGATCTCCAGTATAAGTAGTTCTAAGGTGCAAGAAGTTGTCATGATAAGAAATAATATTTTAGGTCATATTTTATTTCAATATTTACAACGAAAATATAAAACAAAACTATTGGTAGATATATGTATCATTAGTTTTATTTATAATTAAAATTTGGTGATTTTTAATGTTTCAAAAAATGAACTGTCGTTCCTTCTTCGGTTAGAAATGAAGATTATATGACATCTATATGTAATTCAAATTGTAATATAAAGTTACCGAATATTGTATATGAATTAATTCCATAAATGTACAAACAAAGGAGTTTGTATATTTTGCCGATAGATTTAATATTTTTATGAACAAAAAACATTGCATTCTAGTCATAGACATTACACTACATGGACTGCTAGTCCTCATATGTTTTTCGTTGTATATAGTAGTGCTCAAACATAAAGGGACTGTGACGTCACTTGCTGAGCGAATATTGTCGACAATTTGGAAGAGTCCGCGATTGTCGTCGGCAATGCTCGCTCAGACATGCGATGTCACATACTGAAATAAAGTAGCGTTGAAAAGAAAATTGAAAGGATAAATATGGTAATCACAATTATAGTTTAAATATTATGCAATTAAACACATTTATATATTATTTCTTAATTTAGCAATATTTTGCTTCCGATTGAAACATAATTGTGTGATGAGTATTACAATAAAATAATAATTTATGGTTTACTCCATGGGGAGAAGTCTAATGTTTTTATTTGATTCGTAAATTACTCACTTCTTTAGTATAATGATCTAGAACATATATTCTGCAAAATTAATACAATTACCATTATTTCATGCATAATATTAAAATTATTTTTGATCCTTAGTGAAGGCTTAGTATTTTTTAGATTTCATTTAAATAACTTCACTTTGGTTTTTCAAATGATTGTTAATGTAAAAAGTAATCTGTTGGTTCTTTATGAGCCTTTTTGTATTTGCACAGAATTTTGTAACTAATAATAATTTTAAATAAATTTATGAGCTTTATACATATAGTCGTTGCTGTCTGTGAGTATTGAATAGAGAATATTCTAACAGTGTAATTTCAAGTTTCAAAAGTTTTGAATTCTTGTGCTTCCTAGTTTTTTTAGTCCTTCTATTTTACCTTCGACAATATCGTGCAGCAAGCACTCTTTTTGCAATATGGGCCCAATCCAGTTTCCTTTTCTTTTCATGATTTTGCTCAGCATAATTCTTTCTCTCCTAGTTCATGTAGCACCTTTACATTTCTTATCACATTTTTTTACTTCATCTTCTTCATTCATCTTCAGCACCACATTTCAAATTTTCCAGGTAGTTTTTTTGGCTTTTATGAGAGTCCATGTTTTTGATCCATCTTGAATATGATAGCTTTAAAGTTCATTTTTTATTAACGTTTTTCACTCTTCCGCTAGCCAAAGACCTAAAATCTTACGAAAAAGCAAAATTAATATTATTTTCATTAAACATTAGTTTTTTTTCATTATATAGTAATTCTACATCTGTCCTGAAATGGACAACAAGTAAAACTGTAGGGTTAAAAAAAACTTTAAAAGTACAATATCTTCTGACTGTCGACAGAGATTTCAAAAGTTGATTGTTATTTGGTTTTGTTTCCCAATCTTGCCCTGGTAGTATTGTGGCGCAGTTTTTTGCCAAGTAGGTTTGAATGATTCTCGAGGCAGCTTTGAATTTGTCTGAAGTTTAAATTATAGCAGGATATTTTATAGTTGCACACGATTTTTCTTGTTGTTTGACTTTTTTTTCCTGAATTATTATCGAAATGTTTGGATTCCCTGTTCATCGTGCATCATCGTACGCAACATCTAGCGACCGTCATGTTACATGCAACATTTAATGTCTAGAGACCTTTCGAGAGATGATCATTCTTGATATTTAAATGCAATCTAATCGGGCTCTTCATCAGCACAACTTTTAACACATATGGATGCGATATTTGCGACAAAAGGCGGCTCGTAAGCAACTAAGCAAACGTCCTTATTTATCTTTATAATTTATAATTGCTATTATGTGGTTGCTCTTAACTCTTCGTCATAGTCGTAGTGCAAACGCGTTTATTCAGTTTCCAGAAAATATGTTTCTTTTAATATTGAAATGTCACGGAGCTTGCAGGTAATGGGAAATTACAGATTAGTCAGAAACACCAGACTAAATTAATTTTTAACTTGGAATGGCTTGGTTAATAATGCGTCAACATAATGCACTTGTTAGACATCGTGGTTCTTCTTTTGGAATAACAGGAAAAGACGGATTTGCATAGCTAAGCTGTAAGGCAATTAAATTTTTTTTTATTTGCATGGTTTATTTTAAATGTTGAATGCCCTAATTGCGTATTATATAATTTTACCAAATTTGAAAAATTAGTCGGGGCAAAATATTTTGGTAAAAGGGAAATAACCACTTTCAATCGAGAACAACTTTTCGGAGTATTGCTGCAATATCACAATTAGTCAGAACGATCATATAAGGTTGCCTTCTAATAGTGTTCACAGTAACATAAATTACATATTAATTAGTGAGAAACTAGTTCTGATTGCTGTAAAAAAGTATGTATTGTAGTATTGAAGACGCCTATGATTCATATTGTCAAATAATGTTCAGGGATTCCCTTCGTTTTTCTTTTGCATTATGATGCTAATAACTACTTTATTAGATATATTTATTAACGATAAATTTGAGGTTGTCGTAGCTTTGTAGTAAAAGCTTGGTCTTGCAACCACAGATTCCAGATTGAAGCATCAAAACAATGTGCGACCTGATGGCATAGGATCGATTTATGGCATACTCACAAAAATGTTCTGTACTACTGGGAACAATTCTTATTATAGTAATATAAAATTCACATTCATCCTTGTCTTTCATTTGACCAATAGCAAATTATTTTGAATTTTAGGACAAATATAAAAGCAGGAGCACAGGCTTGCAAAATTTCTTTTGTCGGTAACCTTTCGGAAGTGAACATTAAAATAAATAATGTTACGTAAAAGTTTGTTTTGGTTTAAAATAATTTTGTGTGGATGTAAGTAGTGTATGCAAAAATTCCGTTATTTTATCCGATCGAGTGTATTTAGCAACTTGTGATTTTTATGTTTGTGGTCAAGGACATATCTATGATGTATTTGTTGCAAAAGGTGAGTTCAATTCATTCTCGATGCACTGTGGTAGCAAAATGATGCGAATTCTCGGGCTATTTTGAATTACATCTATCTGTTCAATCTTTTCATTAAATTTAATGATATCTAAACCTTCTCGGCTAAACTCGATATAAGGCAGTATGACGTCAAATTTCCACTTGAGAATATAGATCTCAAACACAATTAATAGTTCATTTGAAGCCAAGAAAATGAAACGTGATGGCTTTTAACTTGTATTCTAAGTTATTCCGAAAAAGAAAAGTTTTACATTTATTACAAAACTCCCTTTTTGATATGTATGACATGTTCAAATTCTGCTGTTGCGCAAATAGTATTTCTGATGTGCATAGTACATGTGGAATGTTTTAATTTTTATTCTAATTAAAAGATCATCGAAAACCATTATTATCGCGAAACAATTTATTTTATATAAAATGTATGTTTAATGGAACTTTATATGAATTAGCAAACTGAGAGAGCTATAATAAAAATAATTGTCTTTAAGATTAAATCGGTAGTCTTTGATTTTTTAGTTAAACAAAATAAAACTCGAGCAATAATTTCAATTTTCTTAATTTATTATATATGAGAAAATTGTATAAAAAAACTATGTTCAATTTGATGAAAGTGGGGCAATGTAAAGCTAATGCATAGCTATTAGATATTTTATGGATATATAATTTTTCTATTTCAAGTTTATAAACATCTTGATCTAATCATCTAATTATCGTTAAAAATAAGTTAACCAAAATTATTTAGTTTATAAAATGTTTATCTATGTCATAGGTTCATTTAGTAATGTTTATATTACATATCACATTTATTAAAACATACTTTTTATATTGCAGGTATGTATACAGATGTCCTGGTGGCATGCATTTCTTACAAAAACGTCATTCGTAAGTTTGATAGTTTCAATAAATACTTTGTAATTTACATGTTTATATATATATATATATATATATATTATATATATATGTGCATGTATGTATTACTCAAATATAATATTAGTATGCTATACGAACAGTAATAATACAAAATAATAAACTACTAAAAGTCATTTATTTTTAATGCCACTTTTTTAGAAGTTACTATTGACATTCCTATGAACGTTGTGATAGGGAAGTTAAGCTGTGAAACTTGTTTTGCCAGAATATGTAGGGACACTTTCGGATATAAATGTAGGTCACATATATACTAATAATTATATATATATATATATATATATATATATATATGTATGTATGTATGTATGTATGTATGTATGTATGTATGTATATCACATAGTTTTTGCTGATTGGCTTTTAACATAAGCCTTAAGCTTAAATAAATCTTGTACTATATGCAGCTCAGCATATAGTACGTAATAAAGTAATTAAGCATTATTATTCCAATGAGCGTGCAAAACATACATGGTAACATCATCAAATTTTATTGTACGATACGCCCGAAACCAATAACATGGCAAATAACTACAATACTGTAGTTATTTGCCATTGTGAGAACTAATTATTTATTATAACTAAAATGACCGGGGTATTCATTAATAACCATTAACATTGTGTATAGTACCGGCTGCTTGCATATTCTTTACTTATTAGACCTGATTTAAAATGCGCATGATTCATACTTAATACACGGTCATGTTGGTGATTTTTTCTCAAAAAATCCGATGCAGGCAGGCGACGTCTGGACTCTATCGGGTATAAATACCCCTGTGACGGAGTAATTTCATTTAATTCATTCATCGAAAAACAAAACCAAAACCAAATCATCAATATAGTACGTACGATGATTCACGATGGGCAGTACCTATAATCAGACCTGTGTCGCGACTTATCGGAGGCACCGCGGAGTACTCCCGTCAGAGTCGGAGTCGCAGTCGAGGCACAACCTTCGAACGTACGCCGTCTTGCGCCTCTTTCGTGCCACCTATTATTTCGCTTAATATCCAGTTTCGTCGACCGAGTAATTTAATTCGTACAACGTTCGTAATACGAAATTTTTACGTTGGCATTTACTTATTAATTGAGCTCTTTAGAGATCACTTTTTTTCATTTTTTGAATTTATGCTGCTAATGATTTTATTTCTTCAGATTTTATTTTTTTTTATATTATTTTTATTTTTGAACAGCAACTTGAGAGTCTTATAAGCCGTTGGACTGTTTTGACTTATAATTCTAGTCGGTTCTACAAATGGCAACCCTATCTGTAGAAGCCGTTGTACCATCACTGTGTGATGAATTATTATTACAACTATTGTAACAGGGCAAATATTTATTGATGCAGCAATGCCATATCAGACCTATTTTTACTTGGAAACATATTGCTACCTATATTACTAATTGACAATCATTGTGTAGTTAGCAATATGTTTCTAAGTGAAAATAGCACTCACCCGGCATTCCTGCACTAATAAAAGTTCAGATCTTAGATAAATTCTAATAATAAAATTATTAAATATGGATGAATTAACCATTGGGTTACCATCTAAAAATAGGAAGTAAGGAAATGTTTTAACCTAACAGCTATGCTCATAAGACATAAGGTTCTGATTGCTGTTAACATATGAGAATAAAAAAAATCAATAAAAATAAATCATTGTCACTATTGCTTGACAAGAGCTCGACTCGCGACCTCTTATTCTAGCAATTTACCTCCGAGCGAGCCCTTAAAATATTTAGTATTGCATTTTTATATAAACACGTGTTTTACTTCATGTTTATTTACTTGTACTTTCAAACAATGCTTTTATTTGCCTTATTTTTTATCACTTATATTTTCAAAGGGTATTTTTACTTTCATATTTAAATAATTTATACGCCATTTCAAAGGTCTTTTTGAAAAAATCCGTTATACCAATTGTCAACATTGTACCTCACCTTATGGCCGAGATATTGAAAATATGCCAAACTCACTTTTTAGCGTAACAATTAAAAGTATCGAAAAAATATTACTTGATTCTACTCACATTGGCTTTAACCACATTATGTAGAACAATCGATGCCAAATAATCATTCATTATTAGCTAAAAAATATAAAATAATTTTTGAATTGACGTTTTCGGGTAGTGCATTTAGTTGAACTACTTTCTAATAGGCGTTATTCGAAAATCTATTGTTTTTTACATATTTTTTATGATTTATTTTCCCAAAACTTCGCTTTACATAAAATATTATTGTTTCATTTTTTTTAAATGAGAAATGTACAATATTTTTGGCTTTGGTTTATATTTTTTATAATTTTAATTCTAATTGTGGATTGTGGGATTTGAGTCAGAGTTCCCAAATTCTATACCCACTTCGAACAACGTGATGTCAAGCAGTAGTCTTATCGGTTTTTACATGAAAATATAGATAGCAATATGGTTCCAACTGAAAATAGCCCTTCTTGACATCATTGCATCAATACAAAACAAATCATCATGATTACAGAAAATGTAATACAAAATTCATTACTTGGAGATGGGACAACTATTTGGGTTGCCATCTATAAAACCGACGTAACTAGCTAAATCAAATACTCGAAAAAGCTCATAGAACCTTCAAGTTCTAATTGCTGTTCAAATAATAATTATTATTGACCATTTCTATGTATTAGTTACGATAGTTTTTTATATATATTTTATGAATTATATTTACAAAACAGTTGCTAGAAGAATGTCATTTTAAATATTGCACAGTTGCTACAAATTGTATTACTAGTACATTTGCTATTACGTGATGTTTTCCTATATAATCTAATCTTATGCTGCAATACCATGAACAAAGTATGAAGAGTTACTCTTAATATGAAATGGCCTTTTAGAGAACATCCAGGATGAATGGTCTATGGTTTATTCGCGTAATTGCGATTCATAAGGTGCCCGATTGTATAATTAAGTTCAGCACGAAGAATGGAGAGTTCGTATAAATAATGGTAACGGTAATAGACAGTTGTCGGTCATTTGAAAAAAAGTTATTACCATTAGAATGAATACAATAATAGAATTATTGTATTCTTATTACATAAATCAATGATGTTGCTTCTGAATTTTCTATATGAATGGCTTTGGATTCACTCTTCGCGACCTTCTTTTGAAAAGATTCTAAATGATAAATGATCCAGTTTCAAAACAGTTGAAAACCACAAAACTATTTTTTTTTAAATATTATTAGGTGTATTGTTCTATAACCATAGGTGTATTTCTATAACCATCTCCTTTATTGACAAATGATTTGCCAATATTATTTGAAGCGAAATAGAAACCAATGAAAAAAATAGTTAAAAACGTTTTTATTTAGGAGGAGAATACACTATTCTAATGACTTGCGCCAATTATTTTTATTTTCCTATAATTTTTTTTTATATTTGCGCCTATTCCATCCTGAACTTCAGCAAATTTTTGGTCCTCCTTGAATTGATTGTCACAATTTTGATCGTGAATTTTAACAGTTTCAAAACCATAAATTTATTGGTAATACAAAAATGTTGCGTCGAACTAACAAAAAATATGTGGACAATAAAACCACTACCAGGTTTTGATTTATGGTACCCTAATAAAACTCAAATATTGAATTCATTATGCAATCGTAGAAAATGATTTTTTTTATATTGCACGATAAACTGTGTGTTGTTATTTCATGATCGACCAAGAAATAGTTTTTGTTACATCTACTTGTAGATAGCAATAGGATTCCAAGCAGAAGTTTTAATTTTGATATTCGCCTCAGGCAGATTGATGTCAAGAATTAGTGACATCTTTTATTACTTGGAAATATATTCCAATATTATATACAATAATTAAAATATATTTACAAGTGAAAATTATCCTGTCCATGCATTTCCGCACCGATTTTAAAAAAAAGATCAGTACTAAAGAAATGCTAATAATAAAAATACCGGCAGAAATAGATGGGTTTCCATGAACTATAAATAATAAATGACGACAATAACTAAATGTTTGTAAGTTAAATGTTCACAATATATTGAAGTGAATTTTGCAATTCGAGGGCAGT